TCTGGAGCCCCCAGGCTGGACGACCTAGTCTCAGCTCCCATCGGCTGGCTCTCTGGGGCGTTCTTGTCCGCTCTGCAGCATCCCGGGCTTTCCACTTCTGAAGGCACTGCTTCTGGTCAGATCGCACGGCTGCTGGAGGTGGGTGGTGAGACAGTGGCCGCCATAGCCAGAGACTTGTGGGTGCTGATAGAAACCAACCGGGAAAACACAGAGGATTCAAGAGGGCCTGCATTTTTTTTTTTTTTTTTCTTTCTTTTTTTTTTTTTTTTTAAGCAATAAGCTTTTGTAACTGAAGCTGGAAAGGGAGAAAATTGGTGATCTTGGCTGGGTCTAACGTGACTCAAGACCCTTCTCGATGCATTGGTGTCTCTGCAAGGAAATCTATTATTTTCCATAAACTGTCTTAAGCATCTCCCGGGCTACATTTCTGGCTGTGTTAAGAATCAAGCCATGAAGGACAGCTGTGAATGTTATAAACTTTCAGCAGCAGCAATGGGCTTTGGCAGGGAAGTAGGAGCAAAAAACCCAAGTAGGACATTTCAGTTGACGACAGTAATGGCATTTTCCCTTCCCTGTCCAAACGATAAAAGATGCATGCTCCTAACTGCAACACTATAGCCTCCCGTCACTTTATTCTGGGAGGAGGTTAGAGAGAACACGCCTAGACAGAGGGGGAGAAAGAGAAAGAGGGAGAGATGGATAGGAATTTCGTCACTAGCTAACAGAGACTCATTAGTGCAGAAGACTTCCTTCCATAGCAATACTTTCTAATCAGGTCTGCTGTGTCTGGGCAGACAGCTTTTGTGGATTAGCTAGACTGGAGCCTGACAGCATCCGATGAAATACACAACTACAGAGAAAACAAACCAAAAAGAGTAATAAAGTCACACATTTCAATATTCAGCGACCATTAAGGGATTTAAATATTTGCTTGCTATTAAAGGCTTGCATTAGGCTCTTCCAACACCAGCTCTGGAAGACTGAAATATCAATTACCGATCAATTTTCCCCCTAAGTAAACACTAATGCAGGATAAACAGTATTAGAAGATGCAATCGTAACATTGCTGACTTCAGGATGGACTTCCTGCTGGTAACAGCAAGTTTAAGCCTGGTGATTAATTAACCTGAGAAGATAGCACTTAAGCAAGATTTAAGGCGATCACGTGTCTGAAATATGACTGTGAGCCAGTGCACGTTTGGAGGGCAGCTGAAGTCCCAGGCCCAGAGCGAGCGGGGATTCGACCCTCTCTAGGATTCCTCTCTTTTCCCAGAATCGCCGCCCCCACAGCTCAACACCTCAGAGGAATGGGACGGACTGTGGGTGTGCGTGTGAGAGAGAGAGAAAGCAGTAGACGTTAAGTCAGGTTCCTTGTTGGGATGCATTCCGGCGTTGAACACGCAAGGCCCGAGATGCAATTCCCAGCACTGACCAGCAGGGGCAGTAGACTTTAGAATGAAAAATGACCTAAACCAATTTCCTGCGTACCGAGAGAGCCGGGAAAGGGAGGTGGCGAAGATTTGCAAAAAGATTCCTGCTTTCAGGTCTCAGTTTTGGGGTGCTCACATTATCCTTGTGCCTCACGCCCTCTTTCTGGCATGGGTAATGATGGGGGCAGGGGAGCTTGGGGGCATGAAATACCGTGCTCATATCAGAGCACATTGGACAATTTTGAAACGAGCACAAATAAAGCAGGGAAGCCGGTTTGAATTTTTCTAGCATGCCATACCTCATTCTGAAGGCCCCTCACAATATATGGTAGCAAGAGTGAGGCTCTGCTTAGCCATTCCTAAATCCATCCTTCCCTGTGGGAGAGAACAGATACTCTCTCCCAGCAGGTCCATGAGGCTGATGGGACTGTTAGCTCCACACTCAGGTCCTCGAGACCAGTGGGAAAGCTGCCTATGCTGGGGACGCACTTGCAAATGTCAAGGTTTCAGACACAGAATTGGTGACCTTCACACTAAGTCAAAAGTGCAACTCAGCAGCCAGGTGCTCCCTGGAGTGCCCGACTCCTTGCTGAATGCCTACTATGTGCTCAGCACTCTGTGACCATTGGCCCACGAGGTCTTTGGATGACAGCCAAGAGTCCTCTCTTCCTTCCCCTGGACAGTAGGTTAGGACACCCAACTGCTTCACTTTGGAATTCTTTCCAAAGTAGACATGTGCGGCTGTGGACAGACATTTCCCTCCCTCCGAAGGCACTGGGCTGCCAGTTCTTTACGACTAAGGGCCGCGTGCTTGGTACCCTGACAGAAAAGGTCTGAGGCAAATTTATAATGAAACAAAATGCTTTCACTCATGCAGGGTCCTCCTACCTGTGGCAGGGTACCTGCCTGGTTGCTTTAAGGCTCTGGATGACAGACTCAAAGGAACATTTCTCCATGGAGTAAGTCCATGGCAGAACAAGAATTACATTTCCAGTAGACAGAGGACAGTGAAAGATTGCACCAATTAACACCCACATATCACCTCGGGGTTCCAGTCGATGCATTTGGAGAACGCAAGCAGGCCAAAACATTTGTGACAACCCTCCGGAGGACACGAGGACCATTTTCACTCCCATGCCAAATGAAGGACGGGGCAACTTATCAAGCTCGGCTCACGTGGGCTGCTCCTGGCGCCTCCTCATTTGCATACCCTGCGGAACTCTAATGGCCAGTGTGCGGCAAGTCCTCACCCCACGTCTGCCCCAGTTCAGTGATCTTGGGTCCCTTCACTGTAGGTCACGGCGGAATCTGGAGCGTCATGCTACAGACCAGGGGACAGGGGTCGTTTACACCTTCCAAGGCAAGCTTCACGAGGGCATGGGGTGCCCACATGCAGAGGGGCCCCAGGAGCTCCCTCTGCTTGAGTGGTACCCACCTCTTGGTAGCCGTGGGGAACCTTCTATCCTTTCACCCCATCTCTCTCCATCCTGTATGGCTGATTTTGTGTCTGGCACCTTATTTGCTAAGCACTTCCTGCTTCTCTCCTGCATTTCTCTTAACAACACTTACGGTGAGCCTTACCTTCCAGAGCAGGAGCCCAAGGCCAGGTAGGGTGGGTCCCTTGCCTGAGGTTTCACAGCTAGTGGGTGGTGGAGCAGGGACTGGAGCCCATCCTCCTTATCTCTGCCCTCTATCACCCTCTTTAAAAAGCTATGAAGAATTAGTGCTCCCCATGGCTCTGTGCCCCCTGCAGAGGCCCGGACCAGCCCTTGGAATCGTGACTTGTGTGGCTGGGATTTGAGGACAACCACAAGACTGATCCCACCTTCCATGTCTCATCTGGCTTGCTTTAGTCCCCCCCCCCCCCCCCCCGCCCCCCCGGCGGTCTGGGCTTCCTGCCCTCGGTGCCCTGGACTTCCATTCCCTCAATGCTAATCCATGCTTTCAGGCCCGGGGCGGGGCGGGGGGGGGGGGGGCGGGGGGGGGGGGGGGCAGGGCAGGGAAGCTGCCTTGACTCTCCAGCCCATTTCCCTTCTCCAAGAAATTCCCCCAGGGCTCTGGGGGCTCCTTAACCATCTTCAGCTCGGCCCCCATGTCTGAGGCCCATTTCATGTTTTCCCATGGGTGGGAACTGATGCTCTGATTCGTCTCCAGCGACTATCTCACACCTCTCGGTGTTTATCACAACACAGCACACAGCAGATGCCGGGGGACTGCGTATCTGATTGGCCGATTTGTACAGAGACAGGCAAGAGACCAGGCCAGGATGGGAGGAGGCTGACGTGAAATACACCAGCCTTTGGTTTTTCTGGAGCTTACCTTTCCTTCCACTGCTGAGCTCTCCCCACTACCTGCCCAAGAGAGAGAAAAGGAAGCTCCCCCCAAGCTGGGCGAATGGTGGGAAAAGGGCAGTTTGGGGCTGCTCACATATTCTCCTCGCATTTGTGAGATCAGTCACCATGAAGTGTAGTCATTGCTCACTTGGGCCTGCAAGGCAAGCAGCGGGGGGGGGGGGGGGGGGGGGGGGTGGGCGGCGCAACAACACGCCCGATCCTGCTGTGCACCTGCCCTGAAGTCGCCGCAGCCTAAACAGTGAGTGAGAACCATCTCCCGCAGGTGGCCCAGCCAGTCCTCCGCAGATCCCACCGTCCTTTGGTTAAGAAGGAGAGAGCGCTTGAAATGAAGAAGGCAGAATGAACTGTTACGACACGAAATCCCAAAGGAAGAGACAGGTGGCGCAGCCAACACAGGGAAGTTGGTGGGGGTGGTGGGTGAAGGGGGTGGTGGGGAGGGAGGACGGGTGGCGAATCGGTGGGAGGGGCCATCCTGGCTGGCCCGCCACGGCATCACGTGCACCGGCACAAATCGCTGAGTCCTCTCGGCCAGAGCACCTGGCCCACCTGTCCACCGAGGGGGGAGAAGAGAGCAAGGGCAGGGAGGGTGAGCGGAGGAGAGAGAAAGCAGTTCGAAGACCCAGCCGGCAGCCTCTCTGGGCACCTGCTGCCCGCGCTGGGGGGCGGGGGGTGCCGCGCCCGACCCTGGGGAGGAAGCTGGACCAGGGGCCCCCATCTCTTCTCTCGTGCCCCGGCGTCCGTTAAGAAGTCCATAAAGAGTAAAGGATCACTTGGTAACATTAATTTTTTTTTATTAAGAAGACAGATATTTTATAGTACTTCTTTTTTTTTTCTTTTTTTTTTGTAAAAATGGTATACATGAACCAATACAAAATGCGAATGGGAACATATGGATATGGAATTTCTTACACCATAACATTGTTCATGTACACCTTCAAAACAGAACTGGCCTAAAGGGAAAAATAAGACGTCGGTGTGACTAAAGAACAAGCTTATTTGGCATCAATTATACATCCTTCATTATTTTATATTCCTTTAAAAAACACAAAAAACAAGTTTGTTCTTTCTTCACTCTAAAAAAAGTGATCAACCTGTACAAAGTAATACTCAACAATACATTTCAAACAGTGCACTGTATACTTAAGAAAAAATACATAAACCAATATACAACTAAAACCCATAATTTCCTGTTTTTGCTTTATTTATTTATTTTTTCTTTTCCAATGTGTGGGGCCTACACTTTGCAATCTACCTGAGACGGAAAACACCAATCGAAACACATGAACCTGAGACATGTCAACATTGTAAGCCATAAAGTTACATCAGGGAACACTGCACTACTGTACACTTTTCAAAACAAAGATGGGAGGTCCCAAAAATGAGATGCCAATTTTGTGAGCAATGGTAGGCTTTTTTTTTCCCCCTAAAAAGAACAACTGAAAAGACCTTTCAACGACATGCTAAATGGTTCTCACCCTTTGATGCGGTTATACTATGGTCAGAATGGGTGCTAAGGGCTCGGAATAGAGCTGCACATTATAAAATTCATTGAAAAAGGGATGTTCGTTGTGGCTTTTTGTGTTGGTTAAGTGCCTAGGGATAGGAGGGGGGAAAACAAAATGCTGCTCAATATGGATTTTCTTTTACATATCAGTCCATTCCCAAAAGGCCCCCATATTGCAATGGTTCTATCAAAGGTTAAAACAAAGACAAGAAAAATAAACACACTTTCAAATAACAAAGAGTTGATACTTTTTTTCCCCTTAAATAAATCAGTGGAAGTTTTCCACATAATGTAACAATAGTAAAAATGCACCTTGCAAAATCCAAAATTACTCACTGAAAATGTTATATAATATATATTTATATATATATAGATCTCTTTTTTGATGCCATCTTTCCATAGGGACTGTATCCTGGAGTCTGGAGCCTTACCAAAACATATGGTAAGAGTTTTTAGTTTTTGTCCTTTGGGACTACTTCTAGATTTCCTAGACGTTTCAGTGAAAATCCCCACATTGTTTAAAAAAATGTAAATGGTAACTTGACTCCTCTACCTTTTCCCAAGGCTCCCCATCTAAGATATGTTCAAGGTAACTTATTTTAGTAGCTAAGCACTATGGCTGCCATCATGCGAGGATCAGTAATTTTTTGGCAGATGGTTCTTAAGGCTGAGGAAAGAGGCCAAGGCTAGTGTATGGAAGGTAAAAAGATAAAAACACTCACATTTGAGTTTTGATTAAGTAACTGAAAATCCCTACATGCTGTTTTTCCACCTCTGCTCTGACCTTTCGAGAACTGAGATCGACAGCAGACCAGTGTGAGAACAATACCGGCCCTCCTTCTGTACCTCCTGCCTTTGTCAAGCCAAATCTGAAGGAATGAACGTTTCACACGGATTCGAGTTGGAAATCCCAGCATGACAAATATCTGTAATATACAGTACATGCAGGCCACATCCTACTGCCTTCTTAACTAAGCACAAAGGAAAAAAAAAAACAAAACAAAAAACCCAACCCTGTCCCATCCAGTCATTCACACGCCACGCGGACTTGCTTTTTCCTACAAATTAGTGAGAAGTATGGCCGATTGGGAAAGGCGGATGGAATCATTTGGAACAGAAATAACCAGAGCAGAACTAGCTTTTCCCCCCCTCTCTACTTCCCCTCCTGTGGCAACTCAAATTTGTCCACTTATATAAAAGGAACAGACCTCACCTGTCAGGTCTGTTTAGGGCATTGAAAAAGGAGGAGCCCTTTCCGCCCCAAACCTTTCTGGACAGTGTGGGGTATCTATGCTGAGCCATCTACAGATACAGAATTAAAAGACAGATTCAATCTCATTATGACACACCTCACTTGCAGATAACCCTGTACAGTAATGTAGTTCCACAGCAAACAGAACATTTTCTGAATCACAGTCTAAGTTTCTAGTCTTCACTGCTCTAAGTATTTGAAACATGGGTAGCAGCAAAGAGTCCTCATTGTTTGTTCACCCAAATCTTTACGACAACAGAGAAGAATGCATTATGGACACACTAAATTCTGAACTATGAAATCTAAACTGTGCTGGTTCTCCTTTTATGAAACTGAATTTTGAACAGAAAGCAGTTATTTCAAAAATAAACAACAACAACAAAAAGCAAAAACAACAACAGAATCAGGGGAAAAAAGATTCTAAGGAATCCCAGCAGGCAAATTCCAAAATGGGAGATTTTGGAAAAAAAAAAAAAAAATCCAAAAATTTTTTGGGAAAAATAAATGCACACAAAGGAAAAAGAGAAAGAAAAAAAAAAACCCACAAAAACCGGAAAGAAAAAAAAAAGGGAACGCAATGAACAAACAAAAAACAAGGCACAGAATTTTCTGCAATCTACTCAAACTAAATCCGAGCACCCAAGTTTGACTTGGTAGGAAGAAGTAAAACTTAAAAAAACAAAAAGCCAACCAACCAACAAACAAAAGAAAGAGGTGTCAAACAGCAGAATGTACTTTCAAAGAACATTTTTCCTTTTTTTACACAGCAAATCCCAAGCCTTCCCAGTCTCACACCTTTCCACCCATTCATAAAAAAACACACGAATTTCTCGCAAGTTCCAACATCTCTGTCTCTTTATCACCTAAATGGGGCCAGCTGGACACCTCAGTGAAACAAAAAGGCTGATCTAGATGAAGTACTCTTTCTTTTCTTCGGAGTTGTTCTGGCCTCCTTCCGCATTGATTATGGCTGTATCTGCGTCTGCTGCGTCATCGGCTCCTTTGGCTTCATGAGTGAAGTATGTACCTGAAAGATGAAGGGGTAAAGCACCGTGACTGTCTGATGGCCTCTGTGCAAAGTGGTACAGAGATGGCAACGTGCTTTATGGCCATCATCAGCCGAAGTGGTGTGCAGGCAGCAGAGGGGAAAAAAACAATTGGAAGGAGAGAGCGAGGTGGGGGAGACAAATGGGGATCCGGGGCTTCCAAAGGCACCACTCCAACTGAACCGCTGCGATATAATTCAGCAAATGAGACATTAGAGCAGTGATTATGACCAGAGGGTGTCGGCAGAAGAAGACGTGAGTGGGAGCTAAAAATGCAGAAAGCTGGAGAGCTGTTGACTGACGTGTGAACAGTAAACGCCAGGACCAATGACCAGAGATGTGCGCGCACATGGTTAAAGACCAAAGCAAGGAAGAGCAATTAGCCAATTAATGAATTAGGGCCCTGATGATGTTCTACTGTCGCCTCAACTCGTTTATTTGACCCCCCCCACCCCCCACCGCCTCCTGTCTTCAGGAGTCATGGCCGCCTGTGCATCAGCGGGGGCTCGCACGGGCAGGTCTGACCGTCTTCTGCCTCCTGCTTCAGCGTGGGGTCCCCGATCGAGAAACAGCTTGATAGCGTAGCGGTTGTGATCAAGGCCTGGGGTCTGTCTTAAGGGACAAGCGGTTCTCGCTCAAGGTGTGACTCTAGCCCGGACCCGGATTCATGCATTCGCTAATTGGCACAGCCACTTGAGAATGACGACACACAGAACGCTCCGAAGCTGGAGACACTCCCATGGGCAGGTGCCAACCATTTACGGGAGAGTTTATGGGGAGAGACAAGGACTGCCCCTCAGTAGGACATCTAGGTAGCGCTTACACTGCCTACCATAACCGAACAGCCCTCCTCCCGTTATATACTGTATTCTCGAAGATTCTTAAGGAAAAAAAAAAGGCTGATACATTGGTTGTATTTTCAGGTTTTCATATGTGACAAATCTGAGCAGGCAGGCGGTCAGATGTCCCCCTCCTATCCCCTTCTTTCCTCTGGCCCCTCGTTCTCCACAGCTGCTGAGCAGACTCGGCCCTGCTCTCTGGCGGCAACTTCCTGGCTCTATCAAGCTCGGCACCAAGAGGCTGGGCGTTCTCGGCCCAATGGGCTGCCCCCTGGGCACAGGCAGAGGGTCCCCAAATGGTTTATGTGGGAGACGGGCACTGTGGGTCCTAGAGGTGGTTTCAAGTACCTTGGACCTCCATTGCTGTGCTCAGGGACCCTCCCCAAACCCAGATCCTCCGCTCCAGTGGTAGGCAAGCGCCTGCGGTTAATGCTATAGGAAAACCCCACAAGCTCACAGCACAGAGCTTGAGAAGAACAGCAGAGAGACAAGGGCCGACAAAGAAAGGAAGAATAAATTACCACGATGGGGGGAAGAGGAACGGAGCAGCATGGGGTACAGAGGAGGAGGGCTGGAAAAGATGATTGCCCATCCAGGCTGCACAGCTGATAAGTGTGATGATTAATGGCAATTTAAATCAATTGCACTGATAATTTTTAAAAAATACATATTTATGTGGCTTTTAAAGCACATTAAACCAAGAAAGTATTCTAGCCACTGTGACCAGCTTCCCTGGAGCTTGGGGCCAGGCAGCACTGCCTGTCCACCTGCTTCCCAGAAAGCAGCAGGGTATGGGCATGTTCTTTCCACGTTGATCGCTTTGGGGTTCATGCCCCACCTCTCACAGCCCGGTCCCTGTTTTTACAATTTTTGCTCTATCCCCAATTATGGATTGCAGAATCACACATCTAGAAAGCTTTTAGAGAAAAATCCAAATCAAGAAGCACTCCTCATCAACCCTCAGAGTCCTCATCAGCAGCTGCTGAGATTTCTGTTTTTTTTCCCTCTCCCAGTTTCGGGAAACATTGATAGGTTATGTGGCCACATAATCCCAACTGCCTATCAGGGGAAACCTCCGTCAAGTCCCCAGATGCAGGGGGGTGGTGACGGGAGGCCTCCTGCCGGCCAGAGCATCTTGCTTACCTTTATGTCTGGCAAAATAGCGCCCCAGAATGATGAGCAAGCACAGCATGGCGAACACGACCACGGCCACAACACCGCCGATCACGGCGTGGTCCACCGCTCGGATGGCGCCCTCCTCGCCGGCTCGAGAATCTGTCGGAATCAGAAAAGGAACAGGGCTGTAGAGCTCGTTACAAGACACCAGCAGCCCTGGCCACACTGCCTTCAGGTCAGAGGTCACCTTCCTTTATAATGGAGGAGCCAGAGAGATCAGCCAGATGGATCAGCTTACAGCGAGGGAACAGACTGACCGGGCCAGGGCCGGACCGATCTGTCCTCCCCACAAGGCAATTTCATGACAGGCAGACGAGGAGCGCTAACGCATGGGGAGCACGCTCAGGGACCAGGGAGAGAAGAAACAGTCTGTCTGGTCCCGGCCTGGTCTCAGCGCTCACTCCGTCTGTGTCCAGCTGCAGATCCTAACGAGGAGGCCAACCCAGCTACTTAAGGGCGCTCGGGATGGCACCTTCGGGCACTGGAGGGGAGGCGACCGGAGCTTTCACTAGCTGCCCAGCGACTTCACCCCCGCTAGGCACGTGCACAGGAAAAGGAGCTCATAAGCCACAGCTGCCTCGAGATAAAACAAGGCTTATAAGACTAAAGACAGGTGACATGCTCGCTACATTTAGGAGGTACAAGGGAGTAAGTAAGCCTCCATCTAAAACCTCAAAACCTAGTTCAAAAAAAGGCAGCAAGGAATAATTGTCCATTGCCACAGATGGGCTTTCTTTTATTTATTTAACACTTCACGAGGCATAATTAATTTTCCCTTATCAGCATCACTCCCTCAGGATGTCTTCTTCCAGCTGAGGAACGACACGTTTGGCTGGGGAACCGCTCCAAAATGGACCCAGAATGAGCTATGGTGATGCAGAATGGATGCATGGCAGTGTAAACAATTTTAATTTAGGAATGTGGCTACATCACCCCTTGCTGAAGTCCTAATGGCACCCGAGATTGATAATGTAGTAAAAAACAATTATTCTCCCGTTGATTAATACATTAACATTTTGGAGTGGAAGTCAAACCATTGTCTTCTTTTTTATTGAGTCAAGTACGACACCTCCATTAAAATGATTTACTAGCTGTACCTTACAATTTAAGCACAGCAGCAACAGAAACGGTAAACATCTTTTAACTTTACATGATTTGTGAAGTCATATGTGAAGGATTTACCATTTAAATCTTTCAGTACAAGAAGCACATGGCCCTATAAATCTGTCCCCCTTGCAGTTGCTGGACGCCTGAGATGCGTTTCACCAGGAAGACGGAGAGCGCACATTCAAGTCAATTTTTAAGAAAGATTTATCTCTGTCTCTCTCCAAAGAACAGAGCAAATCTCTGAAGCCTCCACCTCTAATAATATTTGAAGTTTATCGATCAAGTGTACAGATCCGTGACAGCTAAAGGTAATGGTGCTCTTTTGAGCCGAAACCTGATACAACGCTTTCAGCAGGAGGGCATGATTTACACTTTCTATCGATATTTCCAATTCTGCTCCGAGATTAAGTACTGAAGGATGTGGGGAAAGAACTCGTGACTGAGGGTTCCATGAAAAGTGCTTTAATTAAAAGAGTTTAAATTAAAAAATGAAGTATTTAAAGTGTTTCATTAAGTTACCTTTCAGAGGACTACAAAAAAACCCCCAAAATCCCAAACCAAACAGAAATGCCAAATTGGAGGTAGCAGCAGGTCGCCCAGGACAACAGGATGATGGGAGTTTAATTGGAGAAGGGAGATGGGTTGGAGGCAGAGTGCACTGCAGCCAATTAGCCCGCTCTGTGATGTGCGAGCCCCTCCAGCAACCTGTCTAATAGGCTCGACTTGAAACGTGGTGGAGACGAATCGCCCTCCTTGGCCAAAAGCGTTGCCTACTGCGGACGCAACAGCCTCTGTGTCTTGAAAGTCATCTCAACGAGGCAGAACTCTGCCATGGAAACTTCTTCTTTTCTTTTAGAGACAACGGAGCTTGTGGGAGGGGAGTGCTCCCCTCTGCCCCCCCCGCCCCGCCCGACAACAGGGTATCTGCCCGAGGAGAGCTCTTCACATCCCGGAGACTCTCGCCCAACTGCACAAAGTCAGACTCGATGGGAAGACAGAGAGTAACAGGAAAGCCAGGAAGTTGTGTTTTCCTTAGGGAGCTGTCAAAATGGGGGAATCTTGTGGGAATGAAAACTAATCTCCAATTGCCCTGAGCTTCAGACCTATTGAAAAAATAGGGAGTCTTTCAACGAACTCCCTGGGTCTTAGACTTGGGTGGGGAAAACAGCGATACTAGCCATGGAGGAGAGGGGAAAGTGAAGGGTAAGAGCTGAAAAGAGGCCCTGGCCCGGGCAGACTGAGAGCAGAGAGAAACTCCGAGAGGCCCTCCCGGGTCCAGGCACAGACTGAAATAACCCATTTGGGGAAGGCACTCTCATGGCCACTGTTCAAAGACTGCCTCCTCCATGCCTAGGCACAGGAATATTCTAGAAGCTGGAGAAAGCCAGAGAGACAGAGAAGCTCTGTGATCCACACCACCACCTCACGGGCTACGTATCTGTGGGATTAACTTCCTTAGGCCTTCGTTGGGTCCTTGCTCCCCATGAACTTCGGGCTCAGTGTGCTCAGTGCTGCCTCGTCGCCCCTGCACTTTGGCCACATTCACTACCTGGGTTCTAGGGATCTTCCCCGCCCTCAAGGACATACATATTTTACAGATACTTATTTATAAGGTTACTCTCTCCCGCTATCTCGTGATACTCACTTGGTAAGAAAGTTTCCTACCACCAGTGAATCACGAAGACATTTTTCCTGCCTTCAATTACCACAGACGGACACAGAAGGTAACTGATGCTTAATTTACAGGGAACACTGCAGTTTGTGAGCCCCTCACCACCTCTTTCCACCCCACCCCGGGGTTCACCGTCCTCTGTGAAGAGCAGCACCCTTTCCTGCCTCAGCTCACTCCCCGCTTTTGTTTCCATGTGTGGAGTGGGCGGGAGAGTTTTCAGAGCGCTCCCGATCGGCCCCAGGTGGTGGGGGAACAGGGTGGAAGCAGGTCACCGACTACGGGGGCAGAAGGGCCTGCACCTGTGGGCTGGTGCCTCGCTCAGGGCGAGAAGCAGAAGCACCAGACGTTATACCATGAGGCAGCGGGCACATGGCTGGAGGCTGCAGGAAGTATGGGCCACCAGGAGGAGCATGGCTCTGACAAGTCCAGCAGCAGCCCGGCCTTTCCTGTTCCGAGCTCACTGAGGGAGAGCTCCCGCCAGTGCTTGAGAAAGTACCTTTCACCATCATCCAAAGACCCTGCTCCTCTTGGGGTGCAGACCTTGTCACTCTGAGGTTCCACCACCTTTCCTGGGGGGTATCCTCTCCGGAATTTTGGCTCCTTTTCTGAATCAGGCAGAGAAGGAAAGCAAAGAGCCAGACTCTACAAGCGGCCTCCAGCTTCTACACTGAAAGGACACGTGGGCGTGGAAAGCACTTACACACATGCCTGGTCCTCAGGTGAGTGAGCGGCTCTTGGGCCCAGAAGGTCATGTTTTCTTGCTCTTTTAAGAAATGAGTAACAGGTGTTCCTGAGAGTGCTCCTACTTCTGGGACTAAGCGGGGCCCCGTCATCCTGTAGAGGAAATGCCATGTTTCTGTTTGGTGTATTCTGCTGGCATCAAGGTTAACCCAGCCTTGAACCAAGCATGTCTGCGTGGAGTGACGAATGTCACCCCAGTCGCTTCATGTGGGACGTCGAGGACCTTAGGCCTCGTCGTGCCATCGTTCCGGGCTTCAGGGGCTCTCTCTCAGTGCTGGGAAGAGGCTGTGCGGGCTCACGGTTGTGGCACAGTCCTGCCGGGACTGTCCCCTCTTGCAGCCCTGTCCATGGCTCTAAGTGTGACATGAGTCTCTTTAAGGGCAGATCAATCAGGAGCTGCTTAGTATTCGTGAGTTGGCTTTTCTTTTGGCAAAAAGCTGGAACAACCTGGCTCCAGGTGAGCGTTTACAAGCTGCTTGCAGAATGTTAAGTTGGCGACTATGGCTTGGGTCAGAGCTTCAACCACCCTGGGCTCGAATTAGCATCTTAGAAACCGCAAGGACAAAAACATTTCAAAGGGACTCCCAAGAGGGATGCCCCCAACTGCTTGGTTCTCTTTCCCTTGGGCCAGGTGACCCGGCCCCCTCCATTCCTCACGGGCAACATAAAGGAGGAAGTTCTAAAAGCAGTGGTTCCCGAGGGCCTGCCAAGAAAAGTGATTGCTAGAGCAACTTTCAGTCTCCTTTCCCCCACCTCCAGGGGACTCCTTTCTCTCCACTTGCTTTCCCCCCTCAAACGACTTGCCAGAACCGTCCTTCATGCGGAGCTCCGGCAGGCACGCCACAGGTGCTAAAACAGGGCTCTCCAACACAGCGCAGTCCCTCTGGCTACTACTTCGACACCTGGCATGGGACGTCTCACAGAAACTGTCATATGAATGCCTTCATCATGGATCTGTGATAAGCCCAGAAGGCTCGGCTGCCAAAGGCAGGGCTTCATGGCTAGCTGGGGAATGGCCAGTGTATCCCGGACAAGCTCCTGGGAAATAGGGACTCTGGCAGAGGACGTCACCGAGCAGAATGCTCGCGGCAACCGTGGCCTGCCCACCACGCAGCCTGGGCTGGGCTTTTTGCCAAAAGGACACCAAGTTTCCGACCTCTGAGGAGCTGAAGTATGACCCGATCAAAACACAATACACAGTGAAAACATATAGCAGAGGTCATGACAACCACTGCGTGGTTGGCTTACCTTCCCATTGCCAAACATCCCTGGCTCAGGCTATCTATCTCCTTGGGGAGAGCTGGATACTCCTCTAAAATCCACCTGTTTATTCTTCCCAGAGGTTACAGACTACCTCAGGTCTCACCTTAGAAATTAGCATTTAAAACATGGCAGAGATTCTAATGATACTGGTCTGCTTCTCTGTCTTGGGCAATTCCTACGTTCAACCCTTCTGCCATTTCCATACCCAACGAACAACTGGAAAAAAGTTGAGATTCTTGACTTTTTGCAACAGTTCTGTCACTTGGTTTGGTTGGAGCCTTTTTCCTGGGCTGAGGGCTTGCTGGACAAGTCAGTT